AAACTGGTTAGGGCAAGTTTCTGTAAGATTTTATTTATTTATTTTTTAAAAAACTAGAGTGTGATATCCAAAATAAATGTTAATGTTTTAATCTCACGATAGGCACATTGTGGTCTCATTATTTTCTTCATGCTTAAAATGCTTAACAGCTTAAATATGAAGACTATATAACTATTTTAATATAACTGTCAAATGTTTTTAATACTGAATTGAGTTTTAAATGACGAATAAGATTGAGCCAGGTAAAAGACTGTGAAAGATAATTTAGGCAGAGAAAATAATAGAGAGTCATGGAGATGGTGACTGCATTAAATATTTAAGTACCTTGACCATAGGTTAAAAAATGCAAATCACCTTTGGTGAGATGGGAGGATAGAATTGTGGGGACTTGCTGTGTTAGGGAGCCTACACTCTACCCTAGGTCAGTTGAAGAGTCTTAAGTAAATATAACCTGGTAATATTTGCAATGTGTAAAGATTGCTAAAGCTACTTTGTAGAGAAATGTGGTGGCAATAATGGGGATGGGGAGACCAATTAGGAGGCTATTTAAGTAGTCTAGGAAAATGGAAGAGACTAAATTAAAATTGTATGGGATCAGAGAGAAGAAAACAGACTTGACTATACATGTATTTTGAAGGTATATTTGGCAGGATTTGGTGACTGAATGCATATGGTAGACAGAATGCATATGGTACCTGTGTGGATAATAGTAACAGTAGCAGAGAGCTGGATAATGGAGAAAAAGCAGACTGGGTGGATGATGAGTTTGGTTTTAAATATATTATGTCTGGGGTGTTTGTGGAACATATTGTAGCTATGTTCAGATGCGGGTGGCTATATCAGTCTAAAGCTCAAGGGAGAGGTCAAAGCTTGACATGAAGAAGTCACTATCCCAAGGACCAAGGGTATAAAAAATATTGCTACATGACAGATTAAAGCTGATTTTCGTGGTTACTCATTACTTACTGCAGTGTCATTTCTATATTTTCCAGCACTCAGTCACAACACTTAACATGTCCTCAGTATAAGAGGTGAAGTCTGTAGCCTACATAGGGTCTTTAAGATAAAGAGTTGTATGGAAAACACACTTAATTCTTGTATTATTATTTATTAAATATTTCATTATTTTCCATATAAAGAACTGTCAACCTACTTTTGCCCCACCCTGTGTAAATGCACATCGAATATTTTAAAAGAATGCTTCTGTATAATGTTATTAACCTGCCAAACATTTATTGAGCACTACTATGTATGCTGGGTAAGGTGTTAGTGGTTTCAAATAGAGAGATGAATAAAATAGTCCCTGATTTCCAGGGTTTCACAATCTAGTCAAATATATAGGGATATATAGATACTAAATTACAAAGTGAGATAAGTTCAAAGCAAAAACACAGACAAGGCAGACAATAGGAAGTAGCAATCAATTCTGTTTGTGTACAGGCAAATTTCCCAGAATAAATGGCATCTGAAACACCTTTTGAAAGGTGAAGATGACCCTGTCTGCTTAATGAGGGGCAGCAGTGGGGAGGCAGGAATATTTTGAAAAAAGAAAAAAACAGAGTTCCTTGTGTCACAAATAAATAGCTGATGCATTTGGGAATTGCCTGTGGATGAAATGGAAGGGAGAAAGGATAGCTGGAGATGTGGTGGGAGAGGTAGATGAAAGCTAGTTATGTAAGTTATGTAGATATCTTTCTGCACTCAATAGTTCACTTATTCAAGGTTTTATTATAAAATAGTATCTTTCAATGATAAAAGGAAAAATTGTGAATCAAGGTGGCAAATGGAAGAATTGAAAATGAAAAGTAAAGATTGGAGGCCACAAGGACAACCAAGGTCAGCTTTAAAGTCAGCCTCCAGATGAGTTAGTTCATTGTATGGAGTCACTCATTGACTTCAAGCACATTTCAGGCAAATTCGTACCAGATTAAGTAGTACTTAAATGAGTGTGTCTAAAAATTAACATTCGATTTCTGTCTCTAATACCAATACTGATAGTGGTATTCTCTCATGATATTCTCTCATGTCTTGACTCTTTTCCACCAGGGCTATTCCAGCCTTGCTAACTGTGATGCTGACACTGCACTTATGTTCTTCTATCTGTTCCTTTTGCACTTGACAGATCCCCAAAGGATGTATTATGCTCCTTAAGTAACTGTCAAGGTCTCTGCCATAGAAGTCAGTGACAGCTTTTTAAGGTATGATTTCTGAAATGGGTCATGTGTTAAAATCTTTCACCGTATGTGTAACTTCCAGCAATGGCTCACTTAACCTTTTGTCCTGTACTAACTCCGCAGAGCGGCTCGCCATGTCTTGCATGTCGTTTTTCATAAATATTTCCAGAATATAGAGAATATAAACATAGCTAAAAGTCCCTAAATAATACTCATAAGGACTTTTAAGGATGCTCACAGACTTAAGTTCCCCAAATCTCATATTTATCAGGAGTTGTGTGTTTATACTTGGTGATGAATTTTTTTCTGATCCTCTTTAAGATAGATTTCCAGCCAAACCTTCCTGAAGATCAAGGGATATGGTATATTTCTCCATCCTATATTTCTCAGCAATTAAAATTTGAAAATAGCATTTAATGTGTGAATGTATGTAAATAAATAAGCAGTATTAGTTGTTAATAAAGTGCAGAAATACCAATCCATCTAAATATGTGGCCTGTAAATCTAGTCTTCAAACAATAAAGGTAGAACTTAATGTCATCTTTTAGTGGGCCTAAGTCTAGTTGCTATTCTCTAAGTCTGCATATAGTCCTTTAAAAATTGTTTTCCTGAAAACACTCTAAGTGGTAAGTTAAGTTGGATAGAAGAAAGTGCGTGTCCACTGTTTGCATTCTGACTGTTTTCTTCGAATGAAATGCTCTCCTTTATCCAGACGCTACCATGCTTCATGGAAATCCTCAGGCTACATCATTTACTTGAGTTCTTCTCTAATAATAAAGCAGACTTAATTAATCTTTCTATTCTCTAAGAATTTGCAATTGTAATTTGTGCTATGTAATTAAACATTTCATTGTATTGTGTTTTTTATGATATTCACTGATTACTTACAGGGGTTATTCCTCTTTCCCCGGTGACACTAAACTTCTCTATGACTCTTATAGACTTACACTCTAGACATCTCACTAGCTATTCATACCGGTACATTTCAACAAGTGTCCCATGTTCATCCAGAATAACCTTTCATTCATGAACTCAGTTAATCATTATGTGTTGAGATCCTACAATGTACCACACTGTTTTAAGCAATACAGATACACCACTAACAAACACAAAAAAATTGAGACATCATTGTAGAGAGCACCTGGGAAGGCACATGGGCATTTCTTTAATTATTGTCAGCTGAAGCCAGTGGTGTTGGCAGAGCCACGTCCTGGAAACACGTTTTGCCAAAAGGCAGGAGTGTTGTCAGCCTGACCTTCAGCCCAGGTGCCAGGGGGCGGGTTTTGTTATTTAAATCCAGCCAAGCACCAGGAATGAATAGGACTCTGGCCCACCCAAGAATGCAAATAATCTCCTTTGTCTTGACTTTTAGTAAAACTTCCTGTTTTTTTGCTGTATAAAATAAATATGCTGTATTGGCTCAGAGACACTGTCTCTGTCCAGGTTGGTCAGAGGACAGTGGACCCACCCAGCCCCAGCTTTTTCCTTCCATCTCTGTGTCTGTCTCTTTCTTTCATTTTTCTCAATCCCCAGCCGCCCCTACTCAAGAACCGGACCGCTCTCTAGCCCCGTTGGACGCGGAGAAGAGAGACATATTTACACATCATTAAATTTTACTTCTAGTAAGAGGAATCCAGACAATACATAAATGATGTAAATATATAGTATGTCAGTTTCTCTCATAAATATTATTAAGAAAATAGAGGTAGAAAGAAATAGGGTTTGCTTCTAGGGAGTAACAATGGAAAGATCTTAATATTAAACAGGACAGTCCAGGAATTCTTAGAAATGCCATAGTTAATGTGATCAAGAAATTTTCCTAATGTCCTTAACAGATTAAATTAAGGTCCCTATTTACCTAGAATCAAGCCAATCTTATCCAACTTTTTTTTTTTAGGGTGCTTAAATTATTATTTTCTTTTTTTAAAACAGCTCCATTAAGGTATAATTGATACACAAAAAACTGCACATATTTAATATGTGCAATTTGGTGAGTTTTGGATATATGCAAACTCCAGTGATCCCATCACTACAATCAAGTTAATAGACACATCCAACATCTTCCAGAGTTTCTTATGTCCCCTTGTTGGTTTTATGTTTCTTCTTCTTTGTTTTTTACTTCATGAGTGAGTGAGTGTGTGTGTGTGTGTGTGTGTGTGTGAACACTTAACAGAAGTTACATTTTTAACAAATTTTGAAGTTCACAAGATCATATTGTCAATTATAAGCATTATGGTTTTTTAAATATATTTTATTGATTTTTCACAGAGAGGAAGAGAGAGGGATAGAGAGTTAGAAACATCGATGAAAGACAAACATCAATCTGCTGCCTCCTGCACACCCCTTACTGGGGATGTGCCCGCAACCAAGGTACATGCCCTTGACCGGAATCAAACCTGGGACCTTTCAGTCCGCAGGCCGACGCTCTATCCACTGAGCCAAACCGATTAGGGCAATAAGCACTATGTTTAACATCAAGCATATCTCCAGTTCATTATGATGTCTGAAAGAAAGGATTTATTTTTTTATTTTTATAGAAAATACCCCTGGTCCTTCACCACATACTGAGAATGAGGTAAACAGTATAAAGGCAGTAAAGTATTCTAAAATAGATTAAATAATATATCTAAATGCAAAGGGAAATCAGGCACACCAGTAAGAGAAGGGGAGAGAGGTTTTCTGTCATTAACTGATAAAGATTTAACTTTTCAATAGTTAACTTAGAGTTGCAACAAAATAAAAGAAAAAGTATCATACCATTTTCTAAGAGAAAACATTAAAACATAATTTTAGTAAAAATTATTTAGAGATGAGATGAAATCTTACCATTTTTACTGATGTCGAGTTCTTTAAGGTTAACTAAACTAGCAATGGTGGTTGGCAGACTTGAAAGGTCATTGTCAGGAATACTTAGTTTTCGTAGAGCTTGACAGTTGAACAATTGCTGTAAAAAATAATGATTAATTAGAACTCAATTTGGTTAAATCCATTCATATGTAAACTCAGTAACAAAATTCATCTTTATAAATGTGGTAGTGAAAGGGCCAGCTACACACTCTCACCTTCTTCCACCCCGAAACTCTCTATTGTTTTCAGAATGTTTTCCATCTCCATGTTAGTACCTCACTCTTCTCTGCTGCTCAGATTCAAAACCCAAAGTATTCTACTTTTCCTCCTTCTGTTTACCATTCATGTCCAATTTGCCACTGACCCTATAGATTTTCTTCTTTGAAATAATTTCTGGAGTTGTCCCTTCTTTTCTATTCCCACAGCTATAAGATTACCTCAATTCTCTTTTCCTGTCACAATGTTAGATTTCAGAAAGTAGCACTTCAATGTAATCATTTTGAAGAATTGTTTATATAACATGCAAAAATTGATATATATATATTTGAGTATCTGAGCTCACATTTCTTTTGTTTCCCCCTACACTGCTCATAAATATCTAATAAATGAAACATATAACCTCTGATACTTGGTGAAAAAAATCACTAGTGATTGGTTAATTTCTGCCATCAGTCTAAAGTACTAGGTGGGGAAATATGTAAAGTGAAAGCAACGGTTCTCAAATCCAGCATGCTTATAATCACTGGTGGGTGGAGGTGCTTGTTTAAAATGTGATTGTTGCGCTCTACCCAAAGACATACTGATATAGTGGGTCTGGGATGGAAGTCAACATCTGTATTTAAAAATATATTTATTTATTTCAGAAAGGAAGGGAGAGGGAGAGAGAGATAGAAACATCAATGATGAGAGAGAATCATTGATCGGCTGCCTCCTACACGCCCCACACAGGGTTTGAGCCCACAACCCGGGCATGTGGCATGTGCCCTGACCGGAAACAGAACTTCGACCTCCTGGTTCACAGGTCGACACTCAACCACTGATCCACACCCGCTGGGCATCAACATCTTGTATTTTAAACAAGAACTCTAGTGATCTGGTTATTCTGATGTGTGTGTTTACAGTACCATATTTTGGGAAACAAGATTTTTTAGCTATGTCCATCTTATCTTGATTACTCAAGATATGAACAGCTGGGACAGAATTTTTATTCTTTTCTGGAAGAATTATCTTAATGAGATCCTTTCTGTTTGACATTTCTAATTATGTTTTGCTAAATTTCCACAGATGAAGTCTTTGGTATCCATGACGATGCAATTGGCCCAGAGTACATTTAACTACCACTTGTTCTTACATGTAATTCATTATTTATAGGCAGAAATGATGTAAGCCATAGTTATTATTTCTTAACTCATTAGTTCTTTTAAAAAATAGATTGTATTGGTTGATACTTAAGATGAAATATATATTTTCTTGCTTTTGGTTAGTCACTTGTAGCTCCTTACATAGATTATTTGCAATACTTCATGTAGTGCTAGAATTTCAATATGCTGTACAGAAATGTTGCTACTATTTCTTAATAACAGTTAAAAATGTAAGTTTGATAGTTCCTATTAACAGCCAATTTTCATTTAAAAATAGAAAATAAATGTCTACACTCATGGTAAAAGTTAACTAAATTTTTGTCCAGTTTATATCATCCTGCAAGGATTATTACATCAATATGCAATGTAATATTATAAATTCATAGATTTAAGGTTATAAATTCATAGATTTTTAAAAATCAACTGCCTCATGACCGTTGTTGGTCAAGTGTACTAACTATTCTTTAGTTAATAGATTATTATAACCATTTTATGCCAAATTTAGACAACTAAATTTCAAAACAGAAAGGCTTTTTTTTCCTGTTTTTGAAATTTAAGTCCCATCATTTCAACTAAATTCTCAATTTTTCCCTTAAATTAAAAAATATATTCCTGTATTCTTCTATAACTTTAAATGTAACCATGTCAGGAACAAAATATATGAAAAATTTTCAATACTCTATTACACAGAGAATCCAAGACTTCTCTGGTATGGAGGCTAAGAGCATGGTGTTTGCAATCAGACTGATGTGGGTTCAATCCCTACTCATCTACTCACTAGCTGTATGGTCTTGGGAAAGTTGCTTAACATCTCTGAACCCTATCGATTCCCTCCTCTGTAAAATGAGGACAATAACATTACCTAACTTAAATGAGTTACTATTATTCATCAATTCTAAGTTCTGCATTTTTTACATATTAACATCTTTGATATTTGGGAGGCATATTACAATCAAGAGCAAGTTCCAATTTTTAAGGAGTGTTTCTTAGTGCTACTACAATAATGATGTCTTATAATGAATGGCCTTGATTTGATGAAATGAATTACTTGTGAACATGTAAAATTGATTGGCACATAGTAAGAGTTGATAACTATTAGGCATTATTAATATTTATATATATGATACAGAAGCACATCTCTCTATATATAACCTATTTCTTATTTTCTAGATGATGAGGTCTTTGAAGGTAGAAGTCATATCTAATTCATCTTGGTAGCAATCTGTTTCACCTTTGCCTATACCCAAGTTATTAGCATAGTACATAGTGTGTGCTTAATAAGTATATTTTACCAAATACTTAGGTAAGTTGAGGGAAAATGAGTAAAGTATTCAGTTCTAACTGAAAGCAGTACATCACTGTATTAGAAATTTCAGAGAGGTAACAATCTTGTGGAATTTAATTTCATACTCAAAGTGAACTTCTGAATGTGAGTTATGATGTTTATAACTTGGAAAGAAATTAAAGAGATATTTTAATGATTCCTTCAAGACTTAAGCTTTGAATGAAAATGAAGTCAAGGATGATTATGAAGTAACCATAATTCTTCAATATAGTATAAAATAGCAAATTAATTAATTACCAATTAGAGTAAGACTGTTAATGTTTATAGTTACCCTGCCTTTCATTTGGTATTGAAATTTCACATTTCAAAAACAGTGAAGTTGTTTTGAGTCTTGAAATATTTGTGTATTAAAGGTCTTTTTCTGGGGCTAATGGAAGCAATTTAAACTCTGACAGAAATTGGTTTGTGAAGAGCATGCAATTTAAATTACTGACTCAAGAAAGAAATGGTTAGGTGTTTACTAAGAGAGCTGACAAAAAGAGAAAGGCCTGAAGATTGAAAATAAAAACACATTTGGGGCAAAAAATGTATATCCTAAAAGGAATTATGCATTCATCCATGGAAAACCATTAATTGATACCTGCTACAGGCTAGACACTATGCCAAGTATGAGAGGCACAAAATAAACAAGCAATAGCTATTGATCTCAGATTGCTTACAAGTTAATATTCAGACAACAACTACAGTGGGAAAAATGCCAAAGTAAATATTAGGTATGGTAAAAACACACGGGTAGGATATCTGTACCAGATTATGTTCATGGTGGTGGTGGGGTTGACTCATGAAAGTATTCCCAAAAGAGGTGATGAAAAAATGGATCACCAAAAAGCCAGCGCAAGTAAGCAGATGAGGAATAATACTGCACCTTTCTTGTAGCATCTAAAGATACTCCCATTCAAAATATGCATACCTCAAACTAGTTTCAGAAATTTGCTTGATATATGCAGAGACTTAGATTTTGGAGTGAATGCTCTGAGTCTACAACAGCTACATGCATTTTAAATAAATTTATGGAATACTAATTATATGCTAATGGTAGACATTTAGCACTGAAAATGAAAAATAAAAGATATTGCCAATTTCTGTCCTCAGCAGTATGATGGACAAAATCGTCAAAGAAAAACCTTTCAGTGCAACAAAACCACACACACATTAATTTTTCCAATTTGTGGTATGTAAAATGGTAACACCTTTTGCCAAATTGCTAATAAAACGGAATATGTTTTCTTGTTTTATTCATTTGAAAAATGTTGTCATATTCTGGATACTAATTTTTGGACAGTTCTCTCAATATATGGCTCAACATTCCATTCTTTTTATGTTATCTATATATATAAAAGCTTAAGTGACCATCATGACAGATCTATCAAAACCAGTCTCTATGATGCACACTGACCACCAGGGGGCAGATGCTCAACGCAGGAGCTGCCCACTGGTGGTCAGTGCACTCCCACAGCAGGAATGCCACTGGGCTCACCGCTGACAAGTGCAGCTGAGGCAGCGCGAACCTCTCCCACCTCCTCTGCAGAGCCACAGAGGCACAGTGGGGCTGGGATGCGCGGAGCGGTGTGGTACCCCACCTGGCTCGGGCTCCTCCCTGGCCGCCTGCCTGCTTCGCACACAGCTACATCCCCCGAGGGGTCCTGGATTGCGAGAGGGAGCAGGACAGGCTGAGGGACCCCACCTGTGCATGAATCCCTGCACTGGGCCTCTAGTCTTTCAATAAAAAGACATTTATAATAGTCAAATTTATCTGTTTTAATATGTGCACATGGTCTCCAGTTTTTTTCCTCCTGAAAGTCTTCATGCTTTGATTTGCCTCATGTAGAATTTATTTTTGAGTATGATATGAAGTAAGGGTCCATTCTTTTCCTTTTATTGATGACCAGTTGTTCTGGCTCCATTTTAAAAACAGCACCTTGTCTCTCTACTGATTTGCAGGACAAGTTCTATTGTACATCTGATTTCTACATAAGTATGGGTCCATCTCTGTACTTTCTATTTCTGTCCATCTCTCATTCCAGCTGGGTCATTTGAACTCTATGACTGGGAAATGTGCTTGAGCCAGAGAAGAAGGGGGAGGGAGGTAAGAGAATGCCTGGGGAAGGAAGAAAAAGCTCAGCCAGGGTTTGAGAGAGGGGTAGTTCTGTGAGAAGGTGGGTGGGGAGGGGTAGATTGGGAAGAGCAGGGCAGTCTAGAGAGCTGTCTTAGGAGGAACGACTCAGGGGAATGTTAGGAATGGCAAAAAATTAAAAGAGGCTCTATTCTAAACTTTGTGGAAAGGAATAGAAAAGGAAGGTTTTAGCCAGAACGTGAAAAGATGTGCAAGTCTGGGCTTTATCATACAGGAGGTGTTCAGATGATGATTTTTATTCATTTCTGAGTCAGCCT